AGTTTCCTGTTTCCAATGTGCAGTGATATTCTTTTCATTTTTTGTACCATCAAGTCAAAACCAGCACACGAATGGTTATCCACATGGTTTTCACGTTGTGACGAACCATTCACATGTAGCAGCTATTTGTTTGGCTCAGGCCATTTCTTCACACAGTTACATGGAACTTTTTTTATCCGTTGTTGGATTATAGAAATTATAGCTATGTTTTATATGTTCAGTTTAACTGCATCAGTGAGAATTAAAGCTAGTAATCTACATGAAAGCCATAAAATGTGTGCAGAGCCTACAATATTGTCTCTTATCTATTTAATCTTAAGTATATGCTGTCTAGTTGTGTGGCATTAATTTAGAATTTTCCTGAGTGGGAACTCTTGTACAGCTTTTTTCCTTTTCAAAAAAGATGAATAAGTGGCTATGTATATAAAATATTTGAAAAATAAATCTCTTTCCTTCCCCAAAAGTCTTTTATTGAAAATATGATTTTCTGTTTGCTTTTTTTTTTAAAAAAATGCTTATTCTCTAATACTTCTAGAGAATTGGCTAACTTGCATTGTGAAATATTATGTGAATGCTTAATGCGGTACTTTTTTTCTCAGGTGGTAATGAGCAAGGAAATGGCTTTGCTGCCAGTACAGTACCAGCAGCTCCTGCTGTGTCAGCTCCAAGTCAAACAAGTACATCTTCAGACAAGTATGCAGCTCTAGCAGAATTGGACAGTGTGTTCAGCTCCACTGCAACCACTAGTAATGCATATACTTCCACCAGTAATGTTAGCAGGTAGTCTTTCTTGATAAACGTTTAATGTAAATCATTTGTGTTTAAACAAACCAAACATGAAATGGCATTCAAAAGTATTTGATTTTTCAAGTTTTTCAAAAAAAACTTTGAAAAACTTGAAAAATCAGATACTTTTGAATTTGATTTCCATGAGAGTCAACAAGAACAAACCATTATTAGAATAGATCCATATCTCATCTCCATCTCAAGAATTATATTGTCTTTGCTCCCGTATCTTATCCTGAAATGAGAAATATTCTGTTGCCTGCAAAAATACAGGTAATCCTCAACTTACAACTACAATTGAGCCTAGAATTATGGTCGTAAGTCATGGTGTTCATTAAGCAAGGTATCCATATGATCACTTTGCTTACCAATCACAATCCATGCTCTCCCCATTGCAGTCATTAAGTGGAGTACAGGTTGGGGGAGGCCTTTGGAAGACAGCATTGTAGCACCACCTCAAGCCCCATATGGCTTGCCCTGGGCTTCCTAGGACCTCCTGAGGCACTTGTGTTTAGCTTTCTCTCCTGTGGACTAAGAATTGTGGCTGCTCTCAAAATAGTGCACACTTCTGATATGGCACCACATGCCTCTGTGTACTGTAGGAAGGGTACGGTGGATCGGCTCTTTCTCTTTCTCAAATGTGATCTTCAGAAAAAGTAAGCAAAGTGTGACAGCAGAGAGGAGGCCCAAGAGTGTGTTGGGATCCAGCCGGCTGGGAAATAGGCCAAAGGGATGGGATACAGGGCAGGATGGAGAGGAAGATAGGTGGGTGGGGCCACTGTTGTGTTTGCAGATAATTGTAAGGGCAGACAGATTGCCAAGCATCATAATTTTGTTCACATTTTCACAGCAGCCATAACTTTGAGTACAGGTCATTAATCCCTTTATTGAATACTGTTGTAATTTTGAATGGTTGCTGATTAAACAGCCGTAAGTTGAGAACTACCTGTAGTAGCTCAAAAACTTGCCCTAAAAATACTGTCAAGTTACTTTGCTGGAACAAACTAGAAACTATATTTTCAGGATTAATCATTAACATATCTAATGTCTTAAATTTTTATGAACGTTTACATTTGTAATCCTCTTTTAATTTTAATCTTATGCTCTCTTAATAGGAAAATACATGCCATCTTTAGTGACATTCCTGTCAAATAAAATAAAACAAAACTTTTGTTCTGAATTTAATTTCTCACCAGTTTCTTTTATTTTTTATGCATGTTACTGGCTACCTGGAGGTCACAGTTTTTAATTTTATTTAACATCATTTTGAAAATGATTGCAAATCAAATAAGATTGTCTCTAAAGCTCAGTTAAGCTGAATTTTATGTTTCATGTGCAATGATTAGCTGAAAATGTACAAATGTACAACTGATGAATATGAATTATTTCCAGTAGTGCTTTTGGAAAAGTTCCAGTTGGTGCTAATACACAGACGCAGTCTGCATCATCCAGTGTTCCTGCTCAGTTTGGAGGTATTATATTATTATATAATCTTTCTAAACACTGTCTGATAGATTGCATGATTATATTTTAGATAGCATCCATCAATAGGTATAGAAATGCGTTTAAGCTAAGACTATCTCTGAGACAGTTTGTATCTGTTCATGATCTAAACCAGTGTGTTTTATATAAGAAACAAAATGGAGAGACTTCTGGTGGGAGAATGGCAATTTATTGTTTCCAACAGTCTTGGAGACAAGGTCATAGATTTATTCACTGCATGGCAGGAGGGCCTTCTTTTTTCTTCCAGATTGAAGGAGGAAACCACCAGAAGTTGACCCATTTGTCCTCTGGATTGTCATCCTTGAGAGTAAATTGTGGAAACAGGTTTCTTTGATTCACTTGTGAGTTGAGTAATAGGAGGTAGGATCTTCATCAAGTTCACACTGCTGTGAAGCTGAATTTATGGACACTAGAACCAACCTAATTTCTAAATCACTTTTGGGATTTATTTATTTTTGCAGTTATAGAGAGACTTAATTTTTTGAATAGATTTAGTACTTCATTTTGGTGACTGTATTACTGGCACTACATTTAGATTGAAACATTGGAAATTTATACTTTCTGGACTTACAAAAAGTTGGAAATTAAAGAGACTTAAAATATTCAAATAGAAAGAATTTTATTTTTGAAAGACTGAAGACAGAACAACAGAAGAATAGGATTTAACAGATGACTGCAAAATAAGTAAACAGTGTGGCCAGTTAGTAGTGAAGGCAAACAAACTTCTGGGATGCATCACTAGAAGGATCATCAACAGGAAAAAGGAAGTCCTAATCCTGCTATATAAGGCTTTAGTCAGACCCCATTTAGACCCCAATTCTGAGCACTTCTCTTAAAAAAAGATATAAGATTGAGCAAGTCCAGAGACTGGCAACAGAAATGATTCAAGGTCTGAAGGATAAAACATATCAGGAGAGATTAGAGAAACTGAATATGTACATTCTGGAGGACAAAAGGGAAAGGGGGAACAGTTAAATATATTGAAACATTTAAATATATTAAGGGTGTGAATTAGATACTAATAGGCATTGTTTTCATTAAGTAGAAATCAAGAACATGGAGACATAACCTCAAATTGACAGGAGGGAAGTTCAAAAGTAATGTTGGAACAACTTGCAGCAGAGACAGTGTGTTGATTATCAGTGACTTTAAACATGCTTTGGATAAACACATGTCCATCATCTGGCAAAAATTAAAAAAACAAAAAATAAAATAAAAAATAATTAGAAATAATAAATAAATGAAAAAATAAATAAACCAAAAACACTGCGCTGTGGTGGTGCAGTATTGCAGGCTAAATCTACCCACAGTGTGGAGGTCTATCCTGACCAGCTCAAGGTTAATGCAGCCTTCCATCATTCCAAGGTTGATAAAATGAGGAACCAGATTGCTGGGGGCAATATGCTGGGATTGTGAACCACCCAGAGAGTGCTGTAAAGCACTATGGGGGAACATATAAGTCTAAGTGCTATTGTTAAAAACTCAAAAGGGCAGGCTCGATGGACCACATGATCTTTTTGTGCCATCGGTTTTTTGTGTTTCTATGAAAATTGAAAACTTCCTTTTTAATAAATCTGCATTGTGGGATTATAGTCTGAAGCTTCTGAATGGCATTGGTGTTTTTTCTTTTTCTTTTCTCTACCTTGCCACTGATTGGTTGGATTTATAAAAAAAGGATTTCCTTTTTTGAAAGAGTGAATAGAAAGAACTTCTTGTTTAGGAAAGCTGCCTTGTTTACATATCAATTGTAAAATAAAACCTTGAAGGTTGATTAACAGAGAACAAGATGGCTACTTTAAAGGAAATATTTGATTTACTGACCTTTGAAGTGCCTGAACTATTTCACTCTTTACTGAACCAGAAGTTATTACTAATGATGAACACATCACTCTGGAGGCAACTAAGATTCATTTCACGTACAAGTGCAACTGGAAGATCATTCAAAAATTGAAAAAGAGATTTGGGGTTACACTTTCAATTTGAAATATAAGAGATTTATTGGAGTTACTTCATGGAAGCTAGAAATGGACTTTGAAATAATTTCAGGGAGAAGAAAAGATATCAGAAGAAATCAGGAGTCAGAATTTTATTTATGGAATTTAAGCATGTTTGAGAGAAGGAAAAATATATAAACTTGGTTTTATATATGGTTATGGTTAAATGATGAGTCCTTATATCTGGTGATGTTGAATGGTTATCTGGATTGGATAGTGGAGTTTTTTTGGAAATGTCTAATGGGGTAATGGATTAGTTTTTGATACCTAATAAGGGGTGGGGTTTTTTTTGGTAATGTTTAATTGATAAGTGAGCAATGGAGGAATGTAATCTAAAAGAAAAAGGGGCTATATAATATTAGGTATTTTTGTTAATTTTTATTGGATCTTTACTCATTAATAAGGAAGTTGTAGATTTCAAGATGAGTTTATAGAAAATGGGTGAGGCATGGATGAAGAGGAATTTGGTTGTATTTTAAAAGACAGGGATGGTTAATGAAGCTACTTTTGGACTTTGTGAGAGAAACTAAGAGAAATCTAATTTTGATTTTTAGAAATAATGAGACTATTGCTAATTTTAAACTAAGAGTCAGATGTATTTTTTATCTATATCTGTACAAAAGAAAGTCAGAAGCCAGGTTCTTTCTTTTTTCCTTTTTTTTTGAACTTTTATTTTGCTTTCTATCTGATTCTTTTTTATTTTGTTATTCCTCCTTGTTTACTTTTATTCATGTTTTAAAATTTAATAAAATTAATTTTAAAAAAAGAAAATGGGCAATTTGTAATGATGATTTAATCTTTGTAGACTAAGAGATGAACTTTTGTATTCTGCAGCTCCTGCAAGTAATGATTTGATTTCTTTCACAGCTGATAACTATGAGATCCTAATTCAGATAAAATACAAAACTATAGTTAATTCCAATTTCCTTGTTGCACAGGTAACAGTCTTGGGTCTAAGTCGGTGTATTAAGCAGATTACAAAAATATTACCTCATTGATTAAAAGATAACTTAGAACTGATTTGCCATGTTGTTTATATAAGCAATTTTGTAAAAAACCATATCATTTTCTCAATATCAGTGCTTCATTTTTCAGCAACACCATCCACAAATCCATTTATGGCTGCACCTGTAGCTGCAGTAGCAGCATCAACAAATCCATTCCAAACCACCAGCCGAGGAGCAGCAGGTTAGGAAAAATATATCTATAGTTATGTTTGATAGAATTTTTGTTCTGTTTTTAACAGGTACACATTTATAGCTTTGTGGTATATGCTGAAGATGCCTATATACCTGTGGTAAATATAACTTTGTACTAAAGATGTACATGTGAAATTAGTTATGAAATCTAATGAGCGTTAGGCTAATCTTTTTGGGTTGACCAGTTATTAATAAGTAATATGCATAGACTAACTAATCCCCTTAATTGCTTTTTGAAAGTTAAATCTATTTAATAAGATGTTTGTAAATCAGGCACTTATGCTACTCTTGTAGAATACTTTAATATTTGATTATTTTTTTACATATTTAACTCTGATATCATTTATTCTTTGATTTTGGGGGGCACTTATGTGTTGTAAAGCTAATATAATCTCTATACTGAAGGAATTAACTTGTGCTGGTTAAAACATCTATTTCAATGTTTTGGGAAATAACTTCAAAACAAATTCATGAAGTAGTTTGAAGTTTTGATAAAGTGATTGCGTGTTATCAACTGCATAAATTGTTTATAAATAAATTGACAATATCTGGTCTCTTTGTGACTTCTCATAAGGCCTTTCAGGAGCAATTCACTCTCATATATTTCCTCAAGCTCACTTTGGTAGGTGGCCACATTTTATATAAATTTCAGGTGGCTAATTTTTTATTTGCTTGTGAAAGCTTACTGCAGTTACCAGTTCCTTTGCATGTACAACTTTTTCAACCTTCCTTCCATATCATGAAATGGAGTGGGCATGGATGGTGATTGACTTTAAATATACATTTACTTGTTGTTAACACATTACTTGTTGTAAATTTAACACCTCCGTCCTAAGCACATGTTTTCAAAAATATGTGCCATTAATTTCATTGGGACTTGCTGTCAATTAAGTGTGCTAAAGTTGCTACATTTTACTTCCATGGTCACATATGTAGAAAGTTTAAAATAAGTTTTGAAGCTTGTACTCCTAATACCTTTAGTGATACTAATGATGTCAAACCATTGTGGCTTGTCACAATGTGTTTGGTTTTGCTGTATTAGCAAGTACACTTAGTTATCTTCCCTGCTAATAATGGCTTGTGTAAGCTTTGTTGGTCTTCTATCTGTATCTTGTCTATTTTACATTTATGTGCCTATTTATTCCACAATAAGCGCTTTCATCATGTCTTTCTTGGCTAGCCATAACTATTGATTGGTGGATGTATTGATAAAGTTATGCCAGATCTTTACAACATAATTTTTATATGGAAAATTGCTTCAATAGAGTAATTCTCAATAATTCATGACATGAAGCTTGTAATATATATCACAGAACTGCAAAATTTTAAATTGTTCATATGCAGTAATTAGATAATATCTTTACATACTCAATCCAAAATTCAAGAAAGTGATTCATGAACAATTTTCTTTAATTTCTATCTTTCAAGAAAAAGAAAAATAGTGTTAGTTACAGTTTTAAGAATAAATATTTACTGATATAGTCTGATGAAGTGGAACATGGTCCTTGGTCCATGCTGTGAACCAAAGAGAATTTAGTTTGCAGCTGAAGCAATTTGTTAGAATTTCTACAGAGTTCTAACTTTTATAAGGTAAATTATTGCTTTTTCTTTAATGAGCTACATGATTTCATGATACTCTAGAAATTCTCTCTGTTCTTTAATTATTCTCTATTAAAAACATCAACAATTAGTGCTTGTGTTATGTAGCCTTCCTCTTTACCAAAAAATTTCCCACTACCTTCAATGATGTAGTGGCAAATGATATATTAAGTTAAAGGAGCAGTCCAGATAAGTTTTGGTTATATGTCAATAAAATCTAGAAGTTTAATGGTTTTAAGGCTAGCCATGTGGCTGGCTGCTGCAGAAAGAATTCTGTTCAAATTCTTTTTAGTATGATATATTAATAAAAGTTGAACACAAATAATTGACTGCTATTGTTTCTTCCATCAGCAACAACATTTGGCACAGCTTCCATGAGTATGCCTGCAGGATTTGGAACAACTGCCTCATACAGTCTTCCTACTAGTTTTAGTGGTAACTTCCAGCAGCCTGCATTCCCAGCTCAGGCAGCTTTTCCTCAGTCTGCTTTCACTCAGCAACCTAACGGTAAATGCTTGCATGCTACATTTTGTTTCAAGAATACAGTGGTTATTTTAAAACAATTGATTTTCCCGGTTTATCTTTGAAACTCTTATTTGCCATGCTTTTGTTGGTGGGCCAATGAAATATTGTAGCATGTACAAGTGTAACTGATAATATACAGGTAGTCCTCAACTTATAACAGTTTATTTAGTGATTGTTTGAAGTTACAACAGCACTAAAAAAAGTGACTTATGACTGTTTTTCATACTTGCAACCATTGCAGCTTCCCATGGTCACGTGATCAAAATTTAGATGCTTGGCAACTGACTCATATTTATGATGGTTGCAGTGTCCCGGAATCATGTGATCTTTTGCCACCTTCTGACAAGCAAAGTCAATGGGGAAGCCAGGTTCACTTAGTAATTGTGTTACTAACAACTGCGGTGATTCACTTAACAACTGTGGCAGGAAAAGTTGTAAAATGGGGCAAAATTCACTTCACAACTGTCTCACTTAGCAACAGAAATTTTAAGCTCAATTGTCATAAAACGAGAACTATCTGTATATGGAGACACCTGATCAAACTATATGCATAATATTTATTTTTATTTATTTAAGCACTTGTGAGCCACACAGTCATACCAGCTTTGGGCTTGTACAGCAAATCTAAAAACATCAGCACTAAAGTATAATTAAATAAAAACTATAATAACAAAACCATACTTTGGACTTAAAAGTTTACCAAAATGCAAGTAGGGAAAATGTATTCGAAGGGGGAGGCTACCACCAAAAATGGTTCAGTTGAGATCTGCATATGTGGGACTGATTGGGGTAGATTGCAGGGGTGACATCAAAATATAATTTTATCATATTTTATCTATATTTTAAATTATTGTATTCTATTTCAATTTCATTTTACACTGTATTTTATTCCAATTTCATTTTATTTTATTCCAATTTCATTTTAAATTGTATTTATCTAATTCCATTTTAAATTGCTTTTATCAAATTTTAGTAATAATTTATTTCTGGAACTTTGCAGTTTGATATGGCCCAAGGAGGGAGGGAGGAAAGGAAGGAAGGAAGGAAGGAATGGATTTAATTTGAGCTTATTTCTCCAAATCTAATCCCTAACAAGCACTATTTCAGGACATACGTATCATTTTCAGATAAGTCTAAAGTGGCAGGATTCCATTGAGGGTCATCAGCCTATCAATGATACCTCATTCCAACGCCATAAATGACTTTCTATAGAAAAAAAGAGAAAGTCGTCATGCGGGCAGTCCTTGTTTCACAATCAAAATTGAGCCCCAAATTTCTGTTGTTAAGCAAGGCCATTGTTAAGTGAGTTTTGCCCCATTTATGAACTTCTTTGCTTCAGTTGTTAAGTGAATCATGGTAGTTTTTAAGTGAATCATGCAGTCATTAAGTGAATCTGATGCTGATTTGGAAGGTTACACATGGCGATCACATGACCCCAAGACAGTGCAATTTTCATAAATACATGCCAGTTGCCAAGTGTCCAAATTTTGATCACGTGACCATAGGAATGCTGCAATAGTCATGTGAAAAACAAACATAAGTCACTTTTTTCAGTGTTGTAATGAAATGAATGGTGCAAGTCGACTATGTAATTCCATTTTTAATTTACTTTTAATATATATTAATATATGGCAGTGATGGCGAACCTTTTAGAGACCAAGTGCCCAAACTGCAAATCCAAAACCACTTATGCATCGTCGGGTGCCAGGTGGGTGTGGTCCATTGGCTGGGTGTGGCCCATTGGCTGGGCATGGCTGTGGTGGTAACGGCAGACTGGATGGGACTAAAAAGTTCAATCAATCAATTCCAACTTTGCAAGATTTTTTTTCCCGCGAGAAGTTGAAATTGACTGAACTTTTTTTTTTTTTTTGCACATGGCGGCGGAGGCCTAAAGCGAAAAGGTTTATAAAACCCAGCTGAAGGCCTAGGACTAGGGCAACGGCGCGCGTGCCCACAGAGAGGGCTCTGAGTGCCGCCTCTGGCACCCGTGCCATAGGTTCATCACCACTGATATATGGGATACCATTTGATTGGAATAAAATATTTAATTGATTCAGTGATTAAGGGACTGATTTTTGGGAATGGAGTATATGCATAATGTGATACTTGACATCTGGTCTAGAGGTAACTTTTGGAATTTTATTGCAAAGGTACTGGTTTTGCTGCATTTGGACAAGGAAAATCAGTAGTAATCCCATTTGGGCAAGTTACAGCTGTTGGAGTCTCCAGTAACCCTTTTATGGTAAGTGAATACTATGGGTTAGAGTTATGGGTCTTTTAATTCATATACATATCTTGAGAAATAGGTTGTCTTCAAAAGGATACCAAAAACGGGAATACCAAAAAAAAAAAAAAAAAAACCTTCAAATCCTAAACATAAAACTTTCTCTGGGATATTTTAGATTACTTATATTTAATCTTTTATTTAATTCTATCGTGTGTAATATGGTCCTCATTTAATTGAAATTGAAAAATTGCATCATCTAAAAACAATGTTAAATTATATAAATAGGATTTAAAATTGTTAATGTAATAATTTAAAGAGACAATGTTTTGGTTTTCATCAATCTTGAGAGTAGAGAGAATAAGCACTGTAAAAAGTCATATATTGAGAAACATTTGATTTTGATAGCTGTACAGAAATATAGTTCATATTTTGAAATAATATGAGTGTGTTTTATATATATATATTTATTTATTTATTTCTGTGCACAGCAGGAATAAAAGCACTACCATTAAGACATTATTTGTTTGCTGAATTGTTCAACTCTTGCAACTATTCATATAATTTACATTTGAACTTTTTGTCACGATACATGTGTAATTATTTTTTGTGTGATTTCTCTCTCTTTTTTTCTTCTTTTAGGCAGGAGCAGCAACGGGGCCTTTTCCAACAGGAAGCTCGTCAACTAATCCTTTCTTATAGCCTTATAGACACTTTACTTAAAAGAACTCTATGTGATCACATAACATCTCTATGCCTCTTGCACTGTTGTCTTGTTTCACTGACCTTAGCTTTAAACACAAAATAAGTCTTTCAGAAAAAAAAGTCTGTGTTGTGTATTAAAACCAAGGAACACGAGGTGATGTACAAAACATGGGACTGTGGTAACATCCTTTCTTGTGCAATGGCAGGAGAATGTTAATAGTATCATGTATATTAAAATTGGCTAATATTAAGTTATTGCAGATATCATTCATTATGCTGCAGTATTGTACATATTTTTCTCTTAGGAATTAGTTATTTGTGCATATCAGTATTTGTAACTTTTAACACACTGTTATGTGAAAAATGTTACTGGGAGAAATAGATCAGCCAGTTTAAGGTGCTGTCATATATCTTGGAATGAATGGCCTATATCATTTTAACATTGCTTGTTGAGATTTATGAATTCAGAACTGAAGTTTTATTCATTTCTTGAAGTGTTTTTTTCCCTTTCCTGAAGAGCTCTTCTATTTATACATGCCTAAATTCTATATAATGTGGAGGGATACCTGTCTGCATAATAAAGCTGATCATGTTTTGCTACAGATTGCAGGTGGAAAAAATAAATATTAAAAAAGTTTGTTGTTGTCAGCATTTGCACTAACCAATTTTGTTAATTTTCAAAATCACTGACAAAATGTTGAAATTGCATTATTTCCTTAGCTGTTTCAGTAAGGTTGCAAACTGTTAACAGTACATCCTGTTAACAATAGGAATATAACTACTGATCAGTCAGTAAAATATGAAATTGCCTTTATTTTGAAAACTGTCTAACAAATCTAATTTAAAATGAGTAGTAGAGAATATGTTCATTTCATTTGTTGTTTAAATGTTTCTTCATTTCAACTTTCAGTAATTGCTGATTCTTATTGGTTAAAACAAGTTGGTAAGATTGATTTTGCAGCTTTATTGAAACCAAACAGCCAGCAAATACTTAATAAAACCAAACTTTAGCTTCGGTATGGATATGCATACTATGGATTTTGAATGAATATTGTGCTCCTTACCAGTAGAATTATTGTTCAGTAGTTATTTGCAAGGTAAATGCCATGGCAGTGTATTTAGCATTTATTGATGAAAGCTGATAGAGCAATGTTTCTATAGATTTTAGATAATTTGTAACTCAAATATTTGATGTTTGTCAATAGAAATACAAATTTTATATGCAATTATGTTATGGTGACAAATATAAATCCACACGCAGTGTAATACTGCGGCAAGCCATTACTTCATAAAATTAAGTGACCTGAAAATTTGAACGAAGGTGATTCATGTACCAGGGTGAATTTCAGGGTGAATGGATACAGAAAAGATCTGAATTTCTCTCAAGGAGGTTGATTAATGGGAAGGGGAAGGTGTTCTCTCTGTGGAATTTAAACACATTGCTTCAGATTGTTATTGGCATTAATCTGGGATATAAAAATAGTACTTAATATCCTTGCTAGTGGACAAGACTATTTGGGATATTGAAATAGTACATCCCTACATATAATATACTTTGGGTAGAATGTAAAGTACTGTAAAGTAAAGGATTTATCAAAAAGTTTCCTCTAAGATATTTAATAGGAAGATGGAAATTGGGATAAAGAGAATATGTTTGGTAGATTACTAGTTTCTGTCTGGAATTACCAGGTTAGTGGATTTCTGGATTTTCTGTAGCCTTTTTGAGCGAGATATCTTAAAAACAAACACAATGTTTTGTTTAGAAATTTGCTAACCTGTGGTGATGCTGAATTGGGGTATGTCTCCAAAAGGCCATTTTGTATGTTCCAATGTATGCAACATTTATCTTAGTTTCAGTGAGTGCATCTTGATGAAAAGATGAATGGAGTCAAGAGCTTTCTAGTCATTTTAAATCATGAAAAAATATGTCATCTTCATGCATACATACATTAATTGCAGGAATTTGGGTGAGTAAATCCTTGAAATTGCAATTAAAACTACACCTGTATACAGAATGTGGCATAAAAGTCAGCAAAGAGCCACAGGTGTTTTTTTTTTTTAAACTAGTTGAAGAGCATCAGCTTTTTAATGGAGCAACAATTCTGTAGGAAAATGTTTTTAACTCGGCCTTGGTACTGTATTTCTACCCTCTTTCTCCTCTTGACTGCTGTTTGCTCTGTTGGGGTGGGGAACGGGAATATAATGCATTCACTTCGATGCCTTGAATTTTTAAGAGCAAGAATTTTCCTTCTTTGCTGCTTTTCATTTCAAAGTTTTAAAAAATCATTGTATCAATGCTTAAGGATAAGGTGGAATTTTTACTGTTGAACTTAATATAATCCTCATGTTGAATTTTTGTTTCAGATGATAACAAAAGACTTTTCTATGCTTTTTCTAGAAATTATTTTCATTCTCTGAGTAATATTTACATTGAACAACTGTTTTTTTAAATTGAAATTCAATATGTGTGTATTATGAATAAAGCAGCCTTGCAGCATGTAACTGCAAGCACCAATTGGCATAGTACTGTTCGATAGAGAGAGTCCTGGAATTCACACAGTGGCAGATGAATAAATGGAGATAACAGTACAGTACTCATCCTCATTGAGCTCCCTAGCAAAACATGTCCAGCCAATTGGAATCAAACATGGATGCACATCTTAATGGGCACAAAGAAGTTTTGCAAAAAAATCTACTAATATAATTTTGGCTGTTGCATCAGATGAGTTTTTCGGAAATCCTATATTCTATGCTGCTATATTTAGATAATATTTAAATATTGGAGGCAATTTTTTTAAAAAAGCCCCCTGTTCTGATATTCTGGGCAATTGTATTAAGTTTTAATTGGGCTTTACTTTGCCACTGGAAATCTTGCATTTCCAGTACTGTGTGCCCAGTTTTTAAAAATCAACTGTGTCTTATTGAAGATTTTACCCGAATGGCTACGTTAAATACATTTCAATGTGAGGTAAGAAATTTGGTGGTGTTTTAAAGAAATGCAGAAATTTAGCTGAAAAAAAACCCCTTATTATCCATGGTTCAAGTAATTTAGTGAGAGTATCTTTTTTCATACTTAGGAAATGATCTACACTATGGTGAAAACTCATTTTCAATGTAGTGAAAGAATCTTTTTTCTATATAATTTGGAGTTCATCTCCTGAAATAGTGGCATGCTCTCACTATTCCCCATGTGTTATTTTAAATCCCTTAGTGGATTATGTTGTTTTAAACATACTTTCAAATCCTACATTTTCTCCAAATGCATACATTTTATTATTAGCTTTAGGTTTTATATAACCTTTATGAAATATTATGCAATGTAGTATAAATTCTGTAGAGTTCAGTGAGGATTTCTTATTTTAGGTTGAGGTTAATTCCCCAGTTTTGAAATAATTTTGAGTTTTTATTTTCCAGACATAAAGATCAAAATCTCTGCAAGGATTAAATATCTATTTTCCCCCTTGCTTTCTATATTGCCAACAACATTTTCTATTTTCTATTATTTTAAAATCTATTTTATTCTATGCCACCCAGAGTCAGTTATATAAGCTGGTAGTTACATAAAATAAACCAATTAAGTAAATAAATAATCAATTCTTGCAAAGTAATTTGAAAAAGGAAAAGTGCAGCCCTTATTTAGGATTCTATCTATTTTAACAGATCATTATGTATTAGGTTTGTATTTGAATCAGTCCATATGAGAACATACCGTGTTTTAAATGTTTTTATTATCATAAAATTAAAAAATACTGATGTCTAATGAGAAACCAAATTATAAGTAGAAAATTCATTATATAATATTTACTATTTCTTAATACTGTAGATTGCATCATGTCCCAGTACAACAAAAAAGTACAATAATCTATAAACTTTAATTTTCTCATCTCACCATCTTTTATAATGGGTGACTTTTTCCCAGCACTTCAAAGATTCTTCTTGATGTTTATAATAAAATAATGCCATTATTTTATTTTAATTTATTTTAATTTATTTTGAGTATTTGTGTGCTCAAGGCAATTAGCAAATACATTAAAACTACATAATAATAAACAAACTTTACAACATTATTAAAAACCTAAACTATTTAAAATATTTGAAACAAAATAATGAAAAACCATGTACAAACAAGCATGTTTTGAGCTGCCTCTCCCTATCAGTTTAAATGAGAGGGAATTGTTTCATTTCTGGTGGCACTTTATTCCAGAACAAGGAAATTATAAAAGCAGAATTTACTATGGATGAATTTACTATATCCATGGTGGGAGTAACAAAAAATGCTCAATGATCTGAGACTGATCAGGAAATTAGACTAAGTAAGATATCCTGTAAACTTTGTCCTAAGCTCTGTAAGGCTTTATATACATTTAGAAGCATTTTGAAGTAGGCTCAGAAATAACCAACAGCTAGTAAAATTGTTTCTGTCAGGGTATCTTTAGTTTTTTCTATGCACACATACCCTATAATTCATGGAAAATATTCTACAGTTTGGTGCTTTTAAAAAATATGTAAGAAAACTACATAGCCAGTGAATGGCTGTGTAATCTATTAAAGAGGTTAGAAGTAAAGTAGCCTATTTATTACTAGAGAAGAATATGAAAAGAATAATGGGAACAAGAAATGGTTTGAAAATGACAGCTCTTGAGAATATCAGTTTGATCAATAACAAATCTTCAGGGTGATGCCAAAGATGAAGCACAAAGGAGCCCAAAAGTTAATCCCTGCATAAACTTTCATTCTAATTATTTTTCCTAGCATCCAATAGGTTGAGAAGGCTCAGTAACACAATGTATATAAACATTGGTTTTTGTCAGTTTCAGCATGAGGGTTGTGTGGGCCCTGGGAGGCACTGCTCGCCATACAAGCTGCTTGATCCAGGGCCAGCCACATGTTCAGATTATTCTCAAGGGTGACCCATAAGCACAGTGCACTTATCCATCCACTAAGAATTTAACAGAATTACAATGCTATTGTAAAATACTTAACGGAGCAAAAATAATAAAGGCGGGATACAAATAAATACATTTCCATTTTTTCTGAGCATAGTACATGCATACAAAATAATCCTGACTTTAAAACACATGCACAAGGAGGCAATCTATTCCATTGAAATGACTTTTTTATTACCATCTTTATTTAAAAGTTGTAAGGCTTAAGCTAATGGTAGGACTGAACATGGAACAAAATCTGTTCTGTTTTGAACTCCAAACATGCCATCACACTCTAGAACACGGGTGTCAAACTCGCCGTGCCATGTGATGTGACGTATCGCAACTTTTTTTGCATTGCCAGAATATTATGCAACCAGCCGGCAGTTTGACACCCCTACTTTAGAAGTTCTGCAGTATTATCTCTGAAGTTCCCAACATAGCATTCTTCCTTCCTTTCCTCAACCATTGTCCGCATGCCTATTCCTAACAAGGATATTGCTGCAATTCCTAGTGCAGCAAATACCCTAGCTGTGCGCTTCTGATTTTTATTGCCTTCCCTCTCCTCAGTGCTCCTTGGTGTCTGCCTGCTGAAAAAGAGGTGAGAATGGGTTGTGTATGGCACTGGCATTGTGCTGACCTCCCCAGCCATGTGAGGAGCTGGCATTTTCCCTTTCAACTTTTGCAGTTGCCTTCCATCACCAGCACTATTGACACAGATGCAAATATCAAGCACCCTTTCCACCCCCTATCTTGGACTTTCCCTTATTCTTCTCTGAACACTTTATTTTTAGGGCAATCATGTTCTAGTTTTATCCAGATCAAAATAGCTTCTTTCATTCTATAGACCAAAAACTCCAAAATGAATTTTTCTGTTCAGCTATGAACCATTCAAAGCAGCCGCACATCCCTATTGAACAAAGTTCTCTGCAAAACTTAAAATGAGAAATTAATATACTTGAAACAATAACTATAAAACAATGAAAACATTGATTCATCAAAAACCTAGACTGGATATGTATCCTCACAAGAGTGAGGACCAGTAAAAATCCCTGAGGGAATATAGCCCATAGTTGAGGACACAACACTGAGTTATACTTCATGCTCCATAAAATGTCCACAGCTGGAGGTATCTTTAAAATCCCTTGCCTCAGTCAGGTGTGTAATGAGGCAACATTTCAGATAGTCAAGTTTTCATCCATTTAGCTACAGTTAAATCTGTAGCTCTCCAATTCTCACTGAATAACCGATCTGAACAGCTTGAGCCAAAATTGTCAATGCTGGGAGTTATAGTTCTCCTATAACTGGAGGACTATAAAAGTTACACCAAGAACTTAAACTGAAGCCAGAAACAATTAGCAGCAGCATGGATCTCCAAATGTAGGGAAAATACTTTCAATTTTCATTAATTAAATGGTGGTATAAAGAACTATTTTAATGGCTATTACAAATGACCAATCAATTACATGTAACCAACATTTCCTTCTCATTTCAAATGTAATTGGTTGGGCAGCTTGAGAATTCTGATCTTTTAATACAGTTATGTCATAACCAAGGAATTTAAAATCACATGAGAATATACAAGTTAATTTTATGTGCAAATGTGACTTAAAGTCACCGAGGAACTGATTTGTTCAAATAAAAGATTGTTCAATTTGGCTTCAAGGCAACTTTTGTTTAAGGTGCTACATTCTTGTGCTATGAATCTCTGTATCCTGCCATTGTGCTTTCGTTTGAAGATTTTCTGCAGGGTTTTCCTTTTCACATTTTGTTGAGATTATAATGTAAATGCTTCTGCTTAGAAAAATCCCAGCTATCACTGCAAAGTAGCTTCCATATATTAAGAACTGCAATAAAGCAGAGTAAGAATCAAGCTATTTTCCCTAGAAAACCCCCAACTATTATTATATTTTAATATTTTTCAACCATTTTGCCTATTAGTATTATGTCTAGCATTTTTTAAATGTCAGAAAATGAAGCCCAGGAACCTTGGCTATAGTAATAACCTTAAGCAAATGTCTTCACAAACCATGTGAGATTCCTGAACGTACATTGATGTGAATAGCTAAACTGGTATAATCTCTTGAGTACAAACCCAAAGGTTTCTTCATTAAATATTTATAAAATGAACATCAAGTGATATGCATTGGCAAGAAATGAAAGTTCAGATCTACATTTTAAAGGGTCAAAATCATTTAAAAATGGTATGAAAAAAGCATAGCATAGTCCAAAGGCTACAGAAATGTCTTATACATAGGTTTGTGTTTGGACAGAGAACTAATTTACTATCAAGAGCATACAACAAACATGCCTTCTGTTACAGTGCCTTCTTCAAATTATAAGCAATGCATTCCTTAAAATAGAAATTGTTACCTAAGAAACAGTGACCAACCCAAGGTCTAGGATTCCATATTTATTCCTTTTCCAGAACTCTACAAGTCATCTTCTTGCAATATTTACATTTACAGGCAGTCCTTCATTAAAGTCCACTCATTCAGCAACTGTACGAGGAAGACTTAAGACAGGCCCTTATTGTGTTGATTGTAACATCCCTGTGGTCGCGTATTTGCAATCTGGGTGCTTGGCAACTGGCTTACAATTATGATGTCACAGCATCCCACAATCATGTGATGTCATTTGCAAACTTCACTGAGGCTTCTGACAAGCAAAATCAATGAGGAAGGTAGCAAGAGGTCGCAAATGACATTCATACGTTGTGCTTTATAGCTGCATCAGTTAGCAACAGAGTTCCTGGTTCCAATTACAGGCAGTCCCCATGTTAAGAATGTGCCACTTACAAACAACTTATATTTATGAATGGGCTGTCTATTACTAAAAATGGTGGGTAGCAGTCTCTTTTCTCAAGCTAAAGAACCACTGAAGCCACATTATGTGTTCATGAACCCATGAAGCTGTGCATTTTTAATATACAGCCTATTTTCAGTGGTTTAATAGGCAGTCTGTTCGTAAGTATGAGTTCTGACTTACATACAAATTTGACTTAAAGACAGACTTAGGAATGGATCTCATTTTTAACCCAGGGATGGCCTGTAGTTCCATCAGAATAATTAATTAATTTTATTCTGCCTTCTCATATTTAGTTTTTGTTATGATTATTCAATCTTTGTGAGGATTTGCAACTGAGTAATAATGCACTTGTTTTTAGTAAGAAATTAAAAATTAATCTGCTAACTGATAGGCTTAGTTTTTGTAGTAATATCAACATTCCAAAACACAAGTACAGTTCCTGGCTGCATAAGGCTATCTGTCCCTATTTAGTTTTAAATTTCCAAGTCCATTCACTTCAGAAGGTGGTCTCTGAAAAGATGTGAAAGTTTTCAGAAATACTAATTCGGTAACAGTGCCCATAGTACCTGTACAACTTACCTGAGTCCCAATATCCAGGCCCAGACCTTTTGAATCAACTACAATAACAGTCAGTATAGTTTGAATTAGCAGTGCAACAAAGTTGTTGAAGCCAAATATCAAGGCATAGCGTTCCATGCTGAGGTTGACAGCAATCTGGAATCTAAAATACAAACTTTAGTTAGAATGTTGAACATGCTTTTGAGAGATGAAGTTTCAGTATAATTTGCCTGCATATGAGAATTTGGAAGAGTATAACTACATGATTTCTGCAAGATAGTATTAGTAACTTATTGAAATATTGCAAAAGACTATTGAGCTGGGGCAAAATTTGGAGAATATAAGTGAATTTTACAAATGCAATGTAAAATTATACCCACACACCCACACAGCACACAATTATGAGTAATTGCTTAACCTACCTGGCTCATTAAGATGCAATAGCAGAGGTGTACTAAGATTGCTAAGGATAAATTGCTGAGATTGAGAAACACTGCTTTAGACAATCCCTTCTTATTATAAAGTAGAACTATACGCTTAAAAATAAAGGAATAAAACTATTTTTGGCATAATAAAAAATAATAAAATTCTAGTAAATAAATTCAGTCCTCTTAGGTGTCATTTTAAGGGTCATTTAAGGGAAACTTCTCCATACCTAGTGCAGTATGCTGGCTGGGGAATTCACATCTTAAAATTGCCAAGGTTGAAAAACACTATGCTAGGGGAATAAATTCTCCATTTCTTCCGTAGCTTGTGCTCTTACATAAAATAAGCCACCAATAATATTCCATTCCCAACTCCAACTAGATGTACTATAAATGGTAGCAAATTAACACTGGTAATTGAAAGTTACTTACGTAGCTATGGTTATAAGGAGCATATAACATGCTTTGAACACTAAATAGCTAGCATAGCAGACCCAGATGTTGTTGATAAAATGCATCACAATAAGTGAAGTAGCATCCAGGGCTGAGAAGATTCCCAGTGCCAGTTCTCCAGTTAGATCCCAGTTCAGTTTCACATATGCCACAGCTAGTGAGGTTATTGAACCTAGGAGTAGAGGGACTCATCTGTCACATTTTGCAGAACTGTAGCATGTACTGAAAACTGTTTAAACAACTCCCTATTTATTTAAACATGTAAAGATACCCTGATTGCTTCTTTAATGAGAAGACAACAGGAACATTCTTTTCTATTTTTTGAAGAATTCCAAAGTAATAGTTCAATAAGGCTGAAGGGCTAATAAAAGGCTGATGGCCTAATCATTCACCCATTTAACTTCAATATAATGATTCTCTCATTAAAGTATTGTTTACTTCTTTGTCACTTTCTCGCAAAACTTAAAATACCAACAATACAACAACCAGTAATAAAATCAGTGTATTATTATATTAATATCATTTATACAGTCAGCAAAAAATCTATCACTTGGTGACTTGCTCCACAAAATAAACTTTAGTCTAAATCTCTCTGGTTGAAATTTGAGCCTGCTGGTTTATTTAATTTAATTTAAGCTAATTTAAGTTAGCAATTCCTAGAATTGCTGAGAGATTTATTATTGTTATTATTCTGCAGACAAACAGTACAAATGGGAGTAGAACTATGTGATAATTATTCAGGTATATTATGATGGTTATATGATTAATTGCAATCCCAGATTAAATATGCCCAAATTTTCCCAATCATTCCTTATAAGATACGAAGTCTCCAAACCTCACCCCTTCTCAGAAATACAATTTATTGAAATCCTTTTATGCAGTAATCAGAATAGGACATTGTGGTTCAGCCTACAATATGTAAACTAAACCATTTCTGCTTTTGCTGATGCAACTAAGAATTTCAGTATCCATTTCAGCAGAAATGGATATTCAGCAATATCCATTTCAGACCACACCATTTCCTGTTTAATGTATAATTCTACCCACAGATTCTAAGAAATTCCTTATTATTTTTTTCCATCTTGTCTTATATTTGATTGTAATATCTGCTTTAAAGTTGAATCAGTTTTTGAGGTAGTAGAATACAAATTCTAGATAGAAAATAATCATTTATTTTTTTTATATTTCATATTTCTTAACCATCCATCTCCTTCAGGATTTTTAAGAATTTTCATTCTAATTTGTGCTTAACTTTAATATTTTTCAATATGAGGTTATGTAGTTTTTGTTATATGAACAATTTTGTAATCTGGTCAAAATTTGGGGTGCATGGTATCACATTTTGATCACATGAGAAAATTGTTCATATAACAAAAATTAAATATTTAAAAAAAATCAATTTTTTTTCATAAAAATGATGTTAGCAGCATCCCAGGGTCACATGATTGGCATTTGTGAACTTCCCAGGGGGCTTCCCATAAGCAAAGTAAATGGGGGAAACTGAATTTGTTTAACATCAGAAGACTCACTCAATGATCACAGCGAAAAAAGGTAATAAAGTTGGAGGCGACTGACTTAACAACCACTCTGCTCAACAACAGAAGTTATGTTCCAAGTATGGTCATAACTTGAGAACTACTTGTATTGTAATATTCTACAATAAGCTCCACTGAAATAAACAACAATTTATATAAATCAAAATATGTATACATATTTGAATACATGTGTGATTTTGCATGAATTTGTTGTTTAAATTGCTTGTACTTAACATTTATTGTTGGATAATATATAAGATAAATTTTAAGCTTACTTACTCAGAAATGTAGCTATGGCTTCAACAGCTCCATTATAAACTTCAGAACTATGAGAAGGTGCTTTATCATCCCATAGTACTTGCACATAATTCAAAATTTGGTTAAATCCTGCAGTAGCTAAAGCCCACCATATTGACCAGTAAAGAAGTTTTTTGGTGGTATAACATTCCTTCAGATCCACACACAACTGCATTAGGACTGACAGAAAATGACTCTGGGTTTTAATTTTGGATGAGTCATGTTCAGGTAAATTCTGGGGCCTGACTGCTGATATTGTCATCTCTTTGTCCTGTTGATTGGTTTGTTGGTTGGAAATTTGTGCTGTAACTTTCTCTACTGATCCAATGAAGTGTTCTNGGGAAGACTTTCTATGGAAGAACATGCTTTTTTGTGGCATGGGCAGAAAAAATGAAGATATAAATGCTATAGACACAGAAGCTAAAGTTATGACGTTGAGATAAAAATAAGGTACCTGGCCTAAAGAAACTAAAAGCTGTCCAAGCAGAGATCCCATAGTGGATGCCACCAGAGTGATACTTCTGCAGTAACCTGTCACTTTCTGGTAATAATCAGCACTGACAACGCTATATATGTAAGCATAATAGGCAACCTCTGTGGCTGTTGCAAGTCCATACATAAACTCTGCCAGCTGCATGGCTGATATGCCAGATGCAAATAAAAGTAATAGCCAAGTAACAATTAAGCTAATCCCCTGTACAATAATTATAGGTTTATAACGTGCATAGTCTGTAATCAGAAATACAGGGAAGAGCAGGGCCAGGTAGGAGTATGTCCAAACTGGAAAAATATGCTGCGTTACCTAGAAGATAAAAGAGGAGAAATTCTATCAAGCAGAACTATGAAGCATGCATACAATTGTAGCAATAGCACTTAGATTTACAGTATACACCACTTCAGAGTGCTTTACAGCCTTCTCTAAGGGGTTTACAGAGTCAGCATTGCCTCCAACAATCTGAATCCTCATTTTACAGACCTTGGAAGGATGGAAGGCTGAGTCAACCTTGAGCTGGTGAGATTCAAACTGTCGAACTGCTGGCAGCCAGCAGTCAACAGAAGTAACCTTCATTCTAACCACGGCACCACCAAGGCTCAGTACCTAGATCTATCAGAAAAGCAATGTTTTTATGGCTTCATGAACGCCCAATAAAGTTGTGTCATGAAGTCCTCTGGAGGAACATTGTTCCACAGGGCAGGTTTAGCTACCATCAGGGAAAGTCTTTTACAGTGGTGCTTAAACGTTTGTGAAACACCTAATTTCTCTAGCTAGAGTCTAATTTCCCCTTCAAATGAATTGATAATCCTAGAGATTTTGCTATACACTAATACATAGCTTTGGATCATGTTCCTCAATAACTAAACAAACTAGTATAAGTTTTTGATTCATTTGTTTAATTGGGTTCTTTTTATCTAAGATTTATTTAGGACTTATGTTGTAGGTAATATTTACGTGGCAATATTGAAAATTCAAAAAGGTTCACAAAACCTTTAAGCATGACTGTAATCCCACAAGACAACATTGCCTGGAAACTAGAGTAAGCCAAATCATCCAGAAGTCAGATGATCAGGCAGAAACAATAGAAGAAATGTGGTCCTAGCAAGGCCTTCAGCCATGAAATATATGAAGTACATGAAAAATACCAATAACCAGTGCAGTTTGTGGAGAAGTGGTAAAATTGATGAAATGTAAAATATCTGTAGCTATTTGTGCTGCTGAATCATGGGCCACAAAATTATATCATGGATTTAACATGCATGCAATTCAACCAGTATCTAAGGGAGGAAAAAAAAACCCCAGAAAAGTCTCCACCAACTGCAGCTTATTTCTACCCAATAAATTCCCTCACAGATAAAGTATATTTCACTCTACCTCATCAATAGTCAGATTTTTTTCAGGTCCAGTGAGGTAAGGTGTGAGGAAAGGTTCAGATGGCCTCATCATGGTAAAGAAGCCATAAATACAAAGGACCAGAGTTGGAAAAATCCACCCACTCTGATGTACTTTCTGCCAACAGTCCATGGCTCTTTCAGCTAAAATATTAAAGTGCACACAAATAGAATAGATTTTGATTTATTTATTTTTTTAAAAAAGCCTTTTGCTAATGTATACAATGAGATGTTTTTCTTACCGGATGAAGAGTGGAAATTATAGAGGAACTATAATAAAAGTCATGGAAACAAAGAAATAGCTCCATAGAAGAACCCATTTTAGCACTCATTTGACCTGCTTGTTAGCCTATTATCAAGGCTCAGAAAGGGGAAAAAAACATTTCAGTGGGATGTCCCACAGGGTAACATCACAACTAATGAATAATTACACATTTCTTTGATTAGTGTTTCCTTATTTCCCCAATCAAAATTGCTGTCCCCAATAGATGGCAAGATAGTAAGGATTGTTTACAAAATTATAGTATACCAAAAGTTTAGGGAGCTTCTATTTGTTAATTCACACCTGAAAACATTTCTTCTGAGCTTATTGTTTACAAAATAAACATTAATTTAAAAAAAAGAAAATATGTTACAGTCAAACTTAAGTTCAGGTACAGGATGTTACTTAATCAGCTGGATCAATTTGAGCAAGTCACTCTCAATCCAACTCACTTCACAGGGTGGTTGTGGGGAAAATAGAGAAGGAAGGTGCATTGGATATATTCACTGCCTTGAGTTACTTATTAAAATAATAAATGTGGGGTACAAATAAATAAATAGTTAACTTAGACTAGATAACCCTGTGACCCGTTGGGTCATATTTTGAGAAAAAGATAGTACAATCTAATATGACAAAAATGAACATTATTATTTTCATTTTATTTGTTTCCTGCTTTATTATTTCTTTACAAATAACTCAAGGTAGCAAACATATCTAATACTCTTTTTTCCCCACAACATTAAATTTTTGGCTGACTATATTTTTCTTACCATAGTGCTGGATGGTTCCATGATCATCTAAGAAGAGTTTATATCAGAAATAGAAAAGTACTGTAGTGGAAAATAAACTTCAATAATAAGTCAACATTTACTTACCTAAACAGATAAACAGAATGACCAGAGGTGAGCAAAAAACATTTGAAGTGCCTTGATTCAAAATTGTTGTCCTCTGGTACACTGTTTCACCTTAAAAGTTTCACATAGACAAGCAGGAGAGTTTTAGTAGTATATAGGTAATAAAAATAAATATTACTTAAATTCTTTGTTAAACATTTTAAAAGAGAGACTGTACACTTTTCTGGGGAGCAGAGATTCTAGATGAGGAAAAGATTTGATATACGTAGCTCAATGGGATTATATTCCAATATTTAAGCACAAGAGAAAGAAAAGATACACAGAAGCATTAGAGTTAATGTATAGCATGGAGGTTAAAATGTTGGACTGCCTCCAGGGAAATCTAGTTTAAAAACCAGCATCAGCAAAAGAAGTTAAAGGAGTCAGTCATTCTCTCAGCCCAAGTATCCTCACAACTGTTGTTGCAAAGAAATAGGAGTGCTGTGTACATTGATTTAGCTTCAAATCATAAGCAGGATATAAATAAAATATTTTTTAAAAAATAATATTTACCATGCTATGTGTTCCATTTCCTTAGGTTGTTGCAAAATGGTAACCATGTTCTCTGCTTTCCTCAAATGAAAAAGCCTTTGGGTTTTCTCTTTAAATAATTACCCTTGCTTCTCATCAATAAATTTCTTAGGTTTTCATGTTTCAATATCCAGCTTGAGACAAGACTTTCTGTAGTAGTCTTCCTGATATTTCCAATTGTTGATTATTTATCTTTTTGATTTAATGAATTTAAAGCTTGCTTTACGTTGCTGCACTTCCCTTCAAGTTCGTCCTTGCCTCACAGTGGTTATTCCAGTTTTTCACGTTTTAAAGCTGCCACCTCCTTGAAAATATGGTTCTGCTTATGTATCCTCCCCTTAAATAAAACAGAAACACTTCCAATGGTTTTCTAATTTAAGTTCACAACTTAATTAGATTAAGTTATTTAAGCTAATTAATTAAGGACTTCCATCCTTTTAAGGAGACAATGCTGTCAGAGAACTGTCCTATTGAAACAGGCCTCAAATCCACCATTATGGAGCAACCCATAGAAAAGGCAACTATGAATTTGAATAGATTCACAGTAAAAATGGATTTGCTATTTGTCTTGTCAGAAAGTATCAGATGTTTTATTGTAGGAGAAGGCAACTGAATTATTTAATTTTCCAAATAACATTAATGTCATCATTTTTGTTATATGTTTTATTTCATTCTGCTGTACAATGCAGAAATTTGAAGCATAATTTGAAGAGAAAGACTTGACTTTTTTTTGTTTTTTCCAGCTGGCAATTATTTTTATACTCTCCATTCCAAAAAAATCATACAAAGAAACTATGTAAATCAGACATGTCAAACACAAGACCCGGGGGCCGGATGCGGCCCGCGAAGTGGTTTCACGTGGCCCGCAAAGCCATCCTGGAAACAGTGAGGGAACGGCCCCCGCTGCCTTGGCCCTGGCCCAGGCCAGCCGGGACCCAATGTACAATTTTGTGGTGGCCATTATATGACACCAAAAGAAGTCACATAGTACAATTGGAGTTTTAGAAAGAGAAATGGCGAATGGGCTGTATATTTAATTATATTTCATGATATTCTTGTTGATGGTATAGAGGCACCTTAGCAACTATTTTGCTAGCTATATTTTTCTACCTGGACAAACGTAATTATAACTGCAGTATAATTAAATACTAAGAATTAATTTTGGAGGAATTTTAAAAAGTGAATTATGGACAGAGGTATTATATTTATTAACCTAAAGGGAACCAAGGTGTGTGTATGAACATCATTTCTCTCCAATGATCCCTAATTGGTCATGCTTCAATTGAATCTATACAGTTCTCTTGGACTCTTGTGGCTTATAATTTGATGTAATGGGCAGCAAACAAGTCAACTAAATACATACATACATACATACATACATACATACATACATACATACATAAATGTAATTTACATTTTCAGTTTTTTCCAAAGAAATACATATTTTTAAATTAGAATATAGTATACAAACCAAGTATTTATATTATTTTAACTGTTCAAATTATTTTAAGTCTAAAGACTTTAAATGCTTTAATTATGTAATATGTAATTAAAATGCAAATTATAATACCCCAGATTAACCATAGTTTTTCTGATATATGAAGTAAGGAAAGAGAATGATGATAGAGAAAAATTAGTGGCAAGTTGTACCTGCAGAAAACCTTGCTTCCTAACTTTACTTCTCTCCCAATGTCTCTCTGTTTCACCCATCTTCATGTTGCTGATGACAATTCGTTTTACACCATTGTGAAATGATTCATTCAGGTCACCAAGCACATGTGCAGTCCATGAAGCTCCAGGTGGATTTTTAAAATGGCCTTTATAAAAGACAAGAAAATTAAATTAGTAAGCATCAAGGAAGACTTGTAGTTGGCACATTAACTTTTACTTAGTAAAATCTACGTAGGGGAAATGGAGGAAGGAGTGACAAATGCCTTGATCTCTGATCAAAGAACAGTTAATTGTTTTCATTCCAAAGAACAAAGATATGTTTATAATCATGCTCAGAGATATCCAAGTTGCTATATTTTAGGCTTCAAAGTCCATGAGATAAAGCAGCTGAATGTAATATTAACTAAAAGTTAGTGGAAATGCTACAGAAGCTCTTTTTATGACTAAGCTATTTTCTGGAAATTAGTTACTTGATTTGTTCAAACAACCAATAAATCGTGCGAAATCATACTCCACTACTGGTATGAGAAAAATATAGAAGTGGAGTATCATGTGGAAGAATGTTTCTGGTAACTATTTAGCTAAATCAAAATAGAAGCAATCATGAAACTTTTCAGGAATTTCTGGAGCTTTGCTGACCACCTGTTAATTTACTGTCAGTGTCTAGAGAACTTTAGTTGCTATGGCGCTGTCTCACTGAGGGATGGTGAGAAGGAGATGCTATGGCATTGAAGAGTAGAATGCAAAGTTATGAAAGGATTTTGGGGGCCAAACAAAAGGAAACATTAAAAGCAAGGTTTACAGTTAATTGAAATGGAAAGAAGATAGTTTGTTGGCTTTTGCTATTGTAAGAAAATGGCACACCATTTGAGCTGATGAAATTGCCTTGGAATTAATACTATAGGCCAGTGTTTCTCAACCTTGACAATTTTAAGGCATGTGGACTTCAACTCCCAGAATTCCACAGCCAGCAATGCTGGCTGTGGAATTCTGGGAGTTGAAGTCCACATGCCTTAAAATTGTCAAGGTTGAGAAACACTGCTTAGCCAAGGAATGACCTAGCAATCCAAAGCCAATAGGCTGTAAGTGGCATTTACTACAAAAGTATGTTGTATGTCACAAACACTGTGGGAAGTATTGGGGAGAGGACTAAACTTTGCAATTTTCTACAAGTAAACAACTACACCCATCAAAAGCCTGTTGGAGGAGCGGAAATTCTGTAAAACCCTTTCCCCAATTCCCAACCTTTCATCCCATTCAAAAGGAATCAGAGTCAGTGGTTCCGAGGGCTGCTGAAAAGTCTAACAGGACCAGAAGACACACACTTGGTAACAAAGGAAATCAACCAGTGTAACCTGTGCTGTGTCCCTCTCCTGCCCAGATCTGAAACCTGACTCAAAGAGATTCAATAACCTGTGTCCTCTAAAGCACTTCATAACTGCTTCACCAGCACCCTTTCAACACTTCCCAGATAGGGAAGATTGGAGCCTGAGCAATAACTGCCAACGAATGAAGGTAAATATATGTGAATATATTTATATGTAAATATATGTAAATATACGAAGGTAAATATATGTATCCCAGGGAACTTCTCTCTCACCACATTCTGGTGAGAGAAAGGTTCTCTGAGGATGGGCTCTAACATAGTCCAAAACTTTGGAAGACTAAATCTTGGTCCCAGTGAGTGATCCAGTTTGGATCATGCAATTATTACAAAGTATTGCTCAATACAAGGAAATGTCTTAAAGAAAAAAAAATACAACACAATTTATTTTAAATTTCAAACAATGTTCCTTCTCAGTGTGAAATGTTAACCACTTTCTGGATTCAGACAGTCCTGCCTCTTCACGCACTATTCAGGAGCCAGAAAAGGCAGGGATATAATCTAGTAATTTTATTTCTATTTTTTTATTTTATATTTTTTGGAGATTACAAAAAAACAGGTCTATGGCTTTTGGGAGGGAAGATGTACTCATGGAGCCCCTGATTGTGTATGTATGTTCTAAGGAAATGGCTGGTTCTTCTGGGTCTAATGTCTGCAAATAAGGGCACCTAGCTGTTACAATGTTCTTAAACACACATCCCAATAAAACAAGCAATCCATTTATGACATCTTTAATTTTGATTTTATCACTTCTAAGAAGTACATCTGGATCATTAATATAATGCCCATATAAGAAATGGAAAAATGTTTTTGAGTCAAACAGGATGTTTTGCATTTGAATAGCATTTTTAGACTGCGTAGATCCTGCCTTGGAAAAAGCCCTCGTGATTTATTTCTGAATAAACTGTACAGGATATGAGAAGGTGATTTTCAGACCAATGTCTCTTTTAGTAAATAGTTTTGAATATCTTTTTTTGCAGAACTAAACTTTTGAATTTATGGTTCTGTCAGTTTGACTCAAGAAAGGGTTAATTTTATGCAGAACTCAGAATGTCAGTAATAACAAAAGGACAGAGAGAAGAAAGTTAAGTTTATTCTCCCTTCTCACCCATGTAAAACAAAAGGACAAGTGGTTTCTGGAAATAGAACAAAAACTGCCCATGTCTACTGGGCAAGAAGTTGACAAGAATGGAAAGCCCAAAGTGATACACACTTTGGTTTGATTATTTTCAGCAGGGATAAAGTTAAGGACTAGTCCAGGTTAATTGAAGTCTTTCTTGCAATCATTTTAAACAAAGCATTTTTGTTTTGTTTTGTTTTGAATTTCTGTTTTCCTTTGCATTCTCCCTGAAACCAGGCTCCAAGCTATCAAGATGAGTAGAAACGTATCCACAGGCTACTTTAGTCCATAAAGTCTTTCCATTTTCTTCTGTTGCTGGTAAGATTGTCTCCCAATTCAGGATTGAAAAAGAAGTCATCTTAGCATTGAAAACTGTGGACACTGAGGCAGGAATTGAGAAAGAAGTGTTGCACTTTTCTTCCAGGTTGGTGCATACTTTTCAGGGTTAGTAAAGAGTCCTTGAACTGGAATAGTATACAAAGATGAAGGAGGAAGATCAGACAGAAAAGGATAAGCAAGAGCAGGGGAAGAACAAAATAATCCAATAAGATTTCTGGTAGAAAGACCTGGAAGACAGGAAGTTGATGAGAGATACCCAGAGTTTGGTTGGTTGGAAGGAAGGAAGGATCTTTACTTTTTTTCCTGATTTTAGTTACTTTTTCCTTACGCTTTCCTCAGAACTGGAAATAGATGGAAGACATCTGTTTCTACACTCAGTGGGGAGTGGGAAGTGGAGACAGAGCCATACTGGCACTGACAAAGCAAAAAAAAAAAAAAAAGGATCTCCCCTTGGGATGTTTCCTAGTCAAGTTTTGGACAAGTGCTAAGCTCTACTCAGAGAAGTTCCTAAGATCCTAAGATTCTTTCCCAAGAAAATCCATTCAGGAAAAGGCAGCACCACTACAGAGTGATTTTTGTTTTTGCACGGCATTGCTTATTTTTATTTATTTATAAAATAGCATTTTAAAAAAGCCTCAAAACTATATTTATAGTTTACATATCTGTGAGATTGCAATGCTATATCTGTCATGTAACATCCTACTTAGTTCCTGAATTTTAAAGGATATTGTCTTTCAT